AGATGATTTTGCTTTGTCTCCCTTTGTCTCTCTTTGTCTCTCTTTCTCTCCCATGGCCTGTCTGGACGCTGGGCCGACATGTTTTTGCTTTGTCTCCTTTGTCTCCCATGGCCTGTCTTGATGCTGGGCTGAGATGATTTTTCTTTGTCTCCCTGGACGGCGCGTGGAGAATAAGACCCTGAAGCCCGCAGGCTTTAGTCATGTTGTTCCATTTAGCTGGCGGTGGGGTTGTAGTTGTATGATGTTGTATGTAGTTGTGGTTACACCCTTTTTTTGGAGCCCAGTTAGTTGAGTTATTTCAAGTGACTTTTCCTTCAAATCATTCTATTTCATGGCGCATTGAGTCTTACATGTCTTACCGCCTACGGGCACGCCGGTCAAAGGAGGCCGATCTTTCAGATCAAAATCAGCACCGAAATGACCAACAGCTGCTGAAGCAGCGCTTGAAGAATCTGTGTCAGTTTCACGTGTGCATTGCAATTGCATTTCCATGCATTTCCTATAGGATCTGCCTGCTGACTTTGCAGTGATTTCACAGGACCGAATGGATGTTGTTGTTGAACGTAGGGATAGTAGGGCGTGATTTCGGCAGGTGTGGAAAATGACTGTGGAAGAACTGGAGGTCGGGAGCATGCTGTAGGAGATGTGGCTGGTGAGAGGAAGAGGTCAAGGGCCTTCAAGGGGTGAAGGTAAGAGAAACGGACAGGGTGAGTGATCATTCATCGATCTAAGTGGATGAAAAGCATGTTCTCCACCTCCACCTTCTCCACCTTCTCTTCATGGCGTTCGTGGTCGATTTGCTCCCAGCTTCGCTTGTGGCCCGAGCTTCGTGGCCAGGCATGGATCCTGGGCAGTGGTAAGGCGGCCCGTCGAGTGGTCCGGGTCGTCGGCCCGGCGGCTCGTTGGCTGGGTCGCGTTGTTGACCCTCCAAGAGAGGTGGAACGTGACCGTGAATAGGACCTGTCACCTGGGGTACCCAGTCCTGGGATAGTCGAACCTTTTAGGGCCTTTCCCGTGAAAGGCATGTGAGCATTGACCACTGACTATCTATAGATACCGAGCACGTCGGAGGACTTACCCTTAAGATGCTTCAGACACCTAGATCCTGAATGACTCTATTTTGGACCACAAAACCACCCCAAAGATGGTCTTTTCCTATCAACACAGAAGTCAAACCGGTTCCAGGAAAACATACTGTACACCATCATGCATCTGGAGGAGTTCGTTTTGTCGAAACTGGTTATGAGACTTTGGCACCCTCTTTGACCGTGTGGGGCATGGCCAGGGTCTGTCGTCAAGTACCTCACCATAACTCTTTTGGAGATCCTGGTCCCCATAGGGACCACCGTTTTCCCACTTTGCGTGGCAAGAGGTCATACTGATACTACCCCAACTGTTGTACCTTCCTTTCCAGGCCCGGAAGCCTCGACGCAAGAAGAAGGCCGAATCGGGGCCGTCAGACCGAGTGGAGCACAAAACGACCTGCAGGAGTGGGGCACGAGCGAGGCGCAAGGTCACTTCACATGACCATCGGGTCCTGTTTTCCTTCGTCGGCGCCAGCATTTTTGGTATTTTTGCACTGGGCACCTCTTTTGAAGGACTTTCTTGAGTTTGCTAAGTGTTGCTCTGTTTTTTGGGACAGCGGAATTCAACCCTCGGTTGTTGGATTTTGTATAGCGGAGGGCGACGCCTGTCGTTGGTGCACGAGGATTTTTGGTGGCAAGACATTGGGGTAGCTGTTGCGAGCACGGCATCAGATTCTGCCCAGTGATGTGCGAAGCTTCTCATGCAGACAACTACTTCAGCCATGCGCGAGCTGTTTGGTGTTAGTTCTCTGAAGATCTCTGAAGGGTATTGTTTTGCAGACATCAGACACCATCCTCAAAGGCCACTGGGTATGTATGAGAATGTATGAGAAGGTATGTTTTCCGCAACTGAGGTGAACATGCCTCCCTATGCCTCCCTACACAACATGTTCTGGTTTGTTTGCCATGTTACGTTATGTTATTATATAGTTATATAGTTACTTATATGTTAAATTGTCAGCTACCAGTGATACGCGTTGGATTGTTTTGGACACCAGCCCTAGGTGATGTGCTGACACCGCTAAAGCTCTCGCGCTTCTGCAAAGATCGGAAGCTATGCCCAGATTGGCTGCAAGGTGGGCGAGAACACCACAGGCACACCAATGCAAGTCCATGTGAATGTTGACCAAATGGCAAGTTCAATCATTGATTCGACATGCACCAATGCCTGTGCCGTCCAAAAGCAGTTCACATGTACCACAACCAATCCGGATCAGCTGTGTGTGCTCCGGGTCGGAGGGGCCTCGCTGGTCACGAACTCTTAGGGCCCAAAATGAACACCATCGATCTCCGTCGGTGTTCATCACTCCGATCTCCGAAGGGAAAGCGGAAAGCGGAAAGCGCCATAAGAATAGGGCCCCAACTTGAAATATGGCAACCTCTTGGAATGACCCTCCATGAAACTTGCATAGCACTGGTTTTGAACAGCAGGAGAAGGGGATTGAGAGCGTGACTGTGGATTGCCCTGCAAGAGCAAACATGGAGTACATGTCAGGCTCCAGTCTGCACGCTCGGCCTGCAGCACCTGAGGCGAGGGAAGCGAGGGAAGCACCTAAGGAATCATTTGAAGCCAGGAAGATCTCCAGTTTCCATGGTGCTTTAAGGGTCACATTGGAGCCTAGAAGGCAGTTTTGTGAGTTATTTTTTTCCGGTGGCCATGCTGGCCATCTCACTTCCTTGTTTCTGTTCATGACACGTCAACACAAACATGCTGGCTAGAACAGCATTTTGAAAAGCCAATGGCGCAACTTACTCTGAGTAATACTCCAGATTATGCCAGTTGTCCGTGCTTCTGGTACCCTGCAGCCATTCCATGACAAGCTTTTTGCGCAGATGCGCAACTTCAAGGGCTAGAGGAGGAACGACGCTGGCTAGTCTAAGGCCCCAACAAACGCCGGGAGTGATGGAGGGGCTCCGAGGGGCTCCGAGCGGCTCGCAGCGGCTCTGTGGACTTCGGCCAAATTGGCCTTCCTTGAAACGACGTCGTCCACTTCCAGGAAGAAGTGATTCATCAAGATTCTGCTTCTTCATGGGCACAAAAAAACAAAACACTCCCTGGAATGAACCTGGACATGCAAGAATGGCCCCTTTGGGAAGACGCTGTTCCTCTACAGGGTGGTTTCCACTTCTGATGTTAGTGAGTTGGAGTGTCAATCAATTCAGCATCCCAATTCCTTCTGACCAAGTTCTCCCCCGGTACCCGCTGCGGAGGCGGATCCAGCGGCTGGGCCGGTGCCGTTGGGATGCCCGGTTGGAAGCTTGTTCTGCGACGAAGCATTGGAGACATGCTTGGGAGAAACAGTGCCGTTGGGCCTTTTGAGATCGTGAGCGCCCGCATGATTGCCATTTCGCCCCCATATCGCAGCCTCTGGTGTGGGCGAAGCAAGCGCCCCACCTTTTCGGTGAAGCCTCAGGGGCTTTCAAGGTGAACCAGAGAGGTGCGTGCGAGGTGGAACATGCGAGCACGAGGTGAGGGGATCCAACTGAGCGATGGCTGTCTTCAGGTATGTCCACGCAAAAACCATGGTGTTTGAATAAAGAAAGAAGGAAGGGTGTAAAGGTTTAAAGAAAGAAAGAACGGAGAAAAGCAAAACCACGTTTCTGGCTGACTAAAGGTCTCAAAACAGTTTGCTTTTGGGGAATGAGGAGAAGTCGGAACAGGTCCCGCCCCTCCGAACCTCTTTGGAAATGGCTTCATCTTGCCCCAGAAGCCTCATGAAAAAACCAGGTCGCTACGAAAGACATCCACCCCGTGTGAAAAGGAAGATCTTCAAGGATCAGTGGTTTATACTGGTTTATATATATGATCGTCCTTAAGTACATAGAATGCGGAATTGAGCACATTCCGTCAGTTCAATTCCATATTCTAAGTACCCTGCTTTGACCAAAAGCAAAAGGTACTTGGGATATGCCCAAGGGTACTTGGAATATCTCGGAATATCTAAGTTGGTGCGCGCGGGTGTTTCGATCGGGGCAAGCGGGTGCTTCGATAACACAATCCTGAAGATGATTCTAGGGATCCCTATATTCTATGTATATTTTTTGGTTGAGTTGAGTGCCGCGGGATTGAGTTGCACCGAAATTCTATGTACTTCAGGATGGTTAGTGTATATATATATATAGAGAGACCCACATCTGTCTGGGTCCCTTGTTTGGGTGCGTTTGTGCCATTTACTCACTCTGAAACCATCACTGCAGATGATCCCAAATGACCTCGCCTCCTCGGCCAAGGGTGCTGCCACCCCGGACCTCCACCGGCGCTCGCGCGATGTTCTCGCACGCCGGATCAGGGTCAACTCAACGGCAGGGGCACCCCCTTCCCATAGATCAAGTAGTAATAATGAAAAGGCCACCTGAGTTGACCCACACGGGTCTTCGTGACCGGTCCGCGCTTCGCCGAGTTCGACGACCCATTCGAGCCACCGCCGCACGAGTACGCTGGGATCCAAGCGACGCGCGGGCGGGAGAAAAACGAGTGATATAGTACTATATACTTTAGTAAATAGATCGCGCATATATTACGTATATACAAATATACCTATTTCATTGCATAGAATCATCTAGAATCTAGAGCACATGTGACAATCTTTGATCCGAAACGACCATATCTTGGGTTGGTGATCAAAACTAGAGATCGCTCAGGTTCTAGGTGTATCATAAATGTATATTCTGATGCATTGAAAAGCAGATCAAGATGACTGGGCCAGATAAGAGTGGCCAAGAATGACCATGATGAGATCCTTACGCACAACGGTATGCACTGAGGCCTTCCCATACAGCCCATGGGACGACCCGTTTGAACCGCCTTTCGCTGGGATCCAAGCGGAACTACCATAGGGGTAGTCATACTCCACCACTACCATAGGGGTACCATGAGTCATTTGGACTCTCATGTAAACTTCGATTTAGCTTGGGCTCTGCAGATGGTGCAGGATGGATCTGTGGATATCCATAGAGATTCTACTACACCCTGCCCTTCAAACGACGTTTGGTTTCAACATAGTCCTTGACTGTGCGGTTCACATCATTGCCTTTTGAATCCCTTTCGGTCAGAGTCCGCCGACAGAGTTATGACCCGCATCAGTCGGCGGACGACATCATCCTGGATCTTCCAACGACATGACGACGTCGTCATCCCAAATTCATCCCAAATCAGCCCAATTTTTGGCTTGGAAGATGCAGGTATACCAGGACCCACTGTCGGGATGGTTGATCAACCATGGCCTGTTTCACAAGAGTGGACACGGTTGGTTTCGGAATCTGTGGGGCGGCGGGAAATCCTAACTGATGGGTTGTGGTCGAAATCGGGGTTCTGCCTATTCTGATGCACACCGTTGTCGTGGCGGTCACATTCTGGTCATTCGACATGTCATCGTACAAGAACCCAAATCCCTGTCGTTCAGCTCTCGACAAGAACATCGACCTTCCGATGGTACGACCCATCTAGGTCGTCCTACTGAACAGCCCATGGGACGACCCATTTGAGCCGCCGTTAGCTGGGATCCAAGCGGAGGGGGCACAGAGAGAGAGAGAGAGAGAGGGAGTCCTGGCCAGCGCAATTCTCAGTCACCAAGTGCTTCATGTCTAATCGGTACCGTTGTGCGTAAGGATCTCATCATGATCATGCTTGGCCACTCTTATCTGGCCCAGTCATCTTGATCTGCTTTTCAATGCATCAGAATACATTTATGATACACCTAGAACCTGACTGACCTCGAGTTTTGATCACCAACCCAACATATGGTGACCTCTAGTTTTGAACAAAAGATTGTCACATGTGCTCTAGATTCTAGATGATTCTAGGCAATGAAATAGGTGTATTTGTATATACGTAACTCTCTCTCTCTCTCACGCGCGCCTCTTTGAAAGTTCTGTGGCCCAATCGCCTGTAGATCTCCCCAGCTCAGGCAGACGCCATGGCCCGGGACCACAGGACGTTGCAGGGGCATGTTGGGAGGGTTTCGAAAATCGGCCAAGACATGGCGCTTGTAACTTCCAGACATTTTCCGCTGGGGGCCGGAAGACGCCACATGGACCTTTTGCGTGGGCCAGATGTTGCTGTGCAAGCTGCTGGTGGTACCACCGTGGATGTCCGCTTCTCCCCAGGCTTAGAATATATGTAGGTCCGGTGCTTTTGTTCAACTCTTTGCAGGCGCCGGCCTCCATGTCAACGAATTCGATCCATGTCCTTCAAGGGTTGCTGGATGGGATGGTAGGCCCAGAGCAATTCTGAGCATTGGTTTGGTATGCTTCATCCCGTTCCCTGTCGGATGATGCAACGGTATGTTTTTGGTTGCCTTTCGGTCAACGGCACAAAATTTCGCAATGTCCTCCCCCCCCAAAAAATACAATGCCGCTTCGGGAGGTGTAAATATGCGCTCAAAATCTATGGACGGGAAGACACCGTATGGATGCCTTAAAACGCTGATTTTCTTTGCGGTTCCCACCTCGCGCAAACATTTGCCGGTCTGTGCTTGTCACGACAGCCTCCCACGAAAAAACCGTCCGTTTTTGAGGAAAAGATTCCTTAATGGCATTGGGCCCTTAAACTGAACAGGTCATTTCCCTGGACCCATGTGCTTTGGATTCTCTTCCAAATTGATGACCTCCCCACATTCATCTACACGAAAAGTGTGCAGCGTTTGCTTCTTCCCAAAGCACCGTATGCAGCCCAGAATTCGACCACGCGCGCATGCTTTTGTGTTGGTTGTGAAGTCATGTAGCTGGCGTGTGAGTTTGCGCAGGAGTTCTGGCAGTTGCGGGGCCAGCATTCTCGCGCCTCCTGGAACGCTGCAATTGCAGCAGCAGAGCCACGGCATTGGCAAAAAAGATGGAGTTTGCAAAGGAGCGAGTTGAAACCTCACGCACTTGATCCTGTTGATGGAGGTTTCAGATGAAAGCTATGCGTATCATTGTTCACTGGGAATTTTTGTCACAAAGTAGGCAGAAATTTGAACGCCCCACTATCTGAATGGAAAAAACCACCAACCACATTTCTTTCAATGAGTTGGCTGATTAACCCCAGTCCCTCAAAGTGGGGGCGGTGGAAACGCCGGCGGCAGAATCCTTTGACCCGTGGCCTTCAACACCCGTGACTTGGTCAAGCCAAGTGTTCCGAACCATGCAGGTCCAGGATCACACCTTCAAAAAAACAAATCAACTGCTGTATGATCAAATGCCTATGCAGTTGCTGGTTTCCGTTTCAATGAAAATTGAAATACTAGTGACTTTGGAAAATGTCCAGCCATTCTGGTATCAAAGCTTTATCAATCAACAGTCTGCGTGAAGTGCCACAGCACAAAGACAGCCCCGACTCACTGAATTCATCAACTTACTATATATTAATGTTTTGCAGCTCGCTCTTCTGGTCGTTTTTGTCCTGTGGACAGAGATGTTTCACGGACTTGTGGAGTTGCATGAGCCAATGCAGTTTGCAGTTGTGTTGGAAGTCCAACAGAGAATAATCGAGATTTCGTGCGTTTGGCATGGATTAAGTGCATAGTGAAAATTGGCCACACGTTTTGGATGCCATTCCGACACCAATCATGCAATATGGGCTGGGATTACATAGAACAGGGTTCCAATTCTATATACAGAGGTATAAGCAAAGCAAAGCAGCGGCGCATTTTGTGACTGCAAGAAAGGTCAAGACCAAGCAAAAAAAACATCTTTCAGAATTGCCTTCAGCAACAACCATTCTTTTGGACCTTCCACATGCTTTCCTTTGAAACAATGTAACGCTGAAGCGTGGATGAAGTCATGCAGCCAGGCGGCGTGCAGGGCGAGTATTTGTGTTTGGCGGAAACGATTTTTGTGGTCTGGAGATAGCTTTACCACAAGGTTCGTAGTTCTCATTGCATCTGGCGGCGTTCTTGCAACCTCCGTTGATTGTGTTTGCAACGGAATCGACCGGAATTGTTTCAGGTTTCTTTGTGACGTCCGACGAACTCATGAGGATGAACAAAACATGATGAGGATGAATCCGACTTTTGGACGCAGTCATCCAATTGTGACAGCCATCGTTTTGCAGATCGTCGCTACGCAGATCGTCGGGTTCCAAGTTGAGAGAGCCTTGGCCCTGGAAGTGCGGCTGCAAATGCTCCATCAATCACACTTTAGTTGTTTATAACCTTTTGAGATGAGAGATCACCTTAAGTTCCTCAGGGTGAAGTGTCATGACAGCAGTTTTCTTCCTCTTCAGCTTTATAGCCACCTGATCTGGGATGTTTTCGAGCTACTTCGGTTGCCGAGATGGTCTTGTCCTTTGATCAACCTGTTCACAATGGCTGCAGTTCTGAACTAGAAAAGTTGAAAAACACTGGTAGTGACGGGTAGTGATCAAGATTTGCATTGAAATGCTGATTTCCACCAATTCCTGGACCAAGTCCGGTGAAACTTTGGTGATGGCGTGAAGAGTGAAGGAACCCCAGCAGACTCAATTTGCATTGATGGTTCTTTGACGCGTATCCCAGCAACTGTGAGGAGCCGTGTTCTTTTCCCCAGCGACCCCTACAGAAGCACAGTCAGCATCTGGGCCCAATTAGCCGAACACAGAGGTCTTTTCTGAAACATACTGGATCTAAAAAAAGAAATATAATATATATATATATAGATATATAGATATAAAACACATTCTCACACAAAAGTTCAATCGATTTGCGCATGCTGGCCACCTTGACTTGGCAGTTCACCTGGCTCCAACTGGCCCAGACGAATTGGTTAATCATTTCTGCAAACTGGGCAGAACTTCTGAACATGCCGAGTCCGAGCTGAGTCAGACAGATGTCGTCCACGCTTGGCATGTTTTTAGCCCCCGCACCCGAGGCGGTCTCATCACCGAGGGCTATCCTCACCGACGTCGCCAACGGCATTCACGGTACAACAGCTCAGCATCGGCTGCTCGGTGAGCAGGGGTGAGCAGTGGGGCAGTGGGAAGTGAGCAGTTGGAAGATCGACCACGATACATTTTGGCACTTCCCATCCGCTGGCAGCTTGTTCCAACGTGCCGTGGAGTCGAGCCTTTAGAGAAAGGCCAGGTTTTTTGTACATGTTGTGAGCTTTCGTTGCCTGTCATCCGTTGCTACGTAGCGTTGTGCTTGGCGTAGCAGTGACTTAGTGACTGGACTGGACTGTGTTGGAAGATCAACATAAGCTATTGACCTCTCGGATCTGATTGACAAGCTACGGCAAGCGTCGCAAAAAAGGATTGCAACATGTTGGGACAAAGAGCTGCACTCTTCAGAAGAGAAAGAGGATTTCTTTGCAAACATGCTGGAGTTCTCACTGCAGACGCAAACGTGTGTTTTCTCAACTCTATTTGTCAGAACTGACATAGGGCATCGTCTGTTCCAGACTAAACCATGTGGGACCACCCTCCCAAATCCTATGTTCCAGCACTAAGCCATTTGGGGGCACCCTTCCTGCGTGCTCCGCCTCCAGCGTTCAGCACGCCGTTCAGCGCGGAGGTCCACAGCCAACTGCGAGGAACCGACGCGCCGGAATGCGCTGCCCCCGGTGCGACCCCCGGTGGCTTACACCGTGGACCTGGATGGCCCCCAAAAAGAGACTACTATATACAATCACCATTGAGGAAAAGCACAAGCAAGGGTAACATCAAGTGCCACAAATCCTTCCCCTGGTTCGACTAGAATCAACTATATTGAGCGGTTTTTTGTTGTGCTCCCTGTCCCATCAAGCGCTTGAACGATGCCCTTTTTCGGACGCCTCCAGACACGTCCCCAGTGACCCCACCCCCCCGTGCTCCCATCCGTGAGGCGATTTGGGAGACCCGCTACCTCAACTCCACGGAGGTTTGGGCGGACGGATCGTGGATCGCGGGGTTTGTCACTGCTGGTTCTGTCAATTAGTAGTTGGAAAAAACGTAACTTCTTCCAGCCAACTTGTACTTGCCCCAAAATGAGATAGGCAGAGAACCTGAAGCTGGATGAATCTTGGGTTGGACCAGCTTCCCCACCTTTCACCGGTGTCCCTGACCCGAGACGTGTCCAAATGAAAAAACCACGCAAAACCCCTTCCTCCAGTTTCACCACTTTAACCATACCGTTGCGAGCGTTCCTCCTGTTGCGCTTGCCGAGAATGCCAGCCCGTTTTGTGCCTTTGCTCCGCTCGGGCGTCCAGTCTCCCAGGCCTATGCCGTGGTGCTCGCGAGCGACCTGATCCTGAAGAAGCGATCCGACATGGGGCACCTTTGGTGGAGCAGTGTAGATGACCCAACGACATTGGAGTATTCAGCAAACACGTTTGAGTTCTAGCAGGATTTCTAAGAAGAAACCCGTGCCAACATTCCGAGTGTGGACGGGTGTGCGTGTTTGAGGTGGGAATTTGTTGGGGATTGAGACTACGAACGGGAGGAAACTTGAGCAAATATCCTGATGAATGGCAACTCAACTTTGTTGAATCGCAGTAATACTCCATACTACTGTACTATGCATCACTAAAGATATGAATACGGTCATATAATACCAAAGCTTTGGTACAATAGACTGTTTTTCGCACATCCAAGAATATTTTTCAATTTGATCCGCCAAACTTCGCTTGGAAGCGCCGTTGTGGTGCCCGAACTGCTCCCATTAGCCATCTCAAGGCATCAAGTTCCAAAGAACGACTGGCGCTCGCTCATCAGGGTAACCTTATCAGGTCCTGACTTTAGATATTCCGGTCATCCATGAAAAGAGCACCGTTCTGCTCGCACCTCCCAGTGGGTTCTGCGCACCACTGCAGCAGTGAGGTGGCGACGGGCAGTGGATTTTTTCATGCTTTCGTTGCTGATGAGGCAGCTTTGACATGGAAAGTCCAGGCTTTGAGGCAAGGCATATTCTGAAAGAGCAGAACAACAGGTAACACATAAACACGTTAGCCTCAAAACGCCCGACTTCCGTTGTTTTTATCCATGATTCACATGTTCCCTGGCACCCCCCATAGTCAAAACACATCAAAAATGGACCACCCTTGCTAAGCACACCAACTGGTTTTGCATGGTAGACAGACAGTTGTGCTGGTCATCCGTTGTTCGCATGGTCAGAAGGGTGGCACAGCTTCCCGACTCAGCTTTCCCGGCGGGAACGTCGCAGGCTGTGCGTATTTTGACAGTCAAAAGTAGATGACCTCCACGACGACAGAAAGAAGCCAGTCACCCTAGTGCCCCAAATGGCTTAGTCCCGGAACATAGGATTTGGGAGGGTGGTCCCAAAGGCCTAGCGCTGGAACATAGGATTTGTTTCCTCCGGGCGTGTGTGTAGTCCATGGTCACCGTCTAAAGCTTTGAGTTTTCACTTTCCTCCGAGTTTTTGAGTAGCCGAAGGTCACCTTCCCAAGCTGTGAACTTTCACTTTGCCTCCAGATTTTCTGGTTGTCGGTTGTCCCGTGCCAAAATCCTGGGTTTCCGAGAGCCTTGAGGTTTGGATTTTCCCTCCAACCTGGAACCTTGTAGCTAAAAACAAGGGCCAGACTAGCTCTGTATCAACTACAAACTCTTCGTGCCCATCGGAATTGAGATCACTCTTGCTGATGTTCTCTAATCTGGCTTGCCACTTAGACTATGGCACTGGGGCTCCGAGTGGATCCTAAATACGACGCCAAGCTATCTAAAGCCCTTCCCCAAGAATTGAAAAATGGGAATGAAGAGATCCCAAAGACACCCCACATGGCCCTGGTCACCAGGCAAAACCCGTTCTTTTGGAGTCGTGGAGGGTGCTGAACTGCAGGCAGCTGTTGGCTTCAACAGCTCTTCTTTTGTCGGACCCAAGAAATTCTTACAAACCCCTGGTTTCATCAAAACAAACATATCAGCTTCGACCTGTAGATTGGAGGAGACTAGCTGCTAGCTCGAGTCAAGAGTCTACATTGGCGACGGCTCGGGTGTGTTTCCCCACGCATCTCCGGCTTGTCAGGGTGAAGAAACAGGGACCGTGGTTTCAGGGTCCAGAAACCTGGTGAAATCCTCATTCCTGGATGATCGCGTGACCCAAAAGGCACGGTTTCATGCGCGATTCCGTTCAATGTTCGTGGCGCAAGTCGGTTGAGACTCGGCGCCGTTTCGCATGTTCGGGGCGGTGTTGCGGGACCACTCTCTTTCGCGTCAGGTCAGTGGTGGAAGATGCGAGGAGTGCAGTGCCAGGACGGACTCCTGCGTTGGGCTGGGAGGGTGGAACGTGAAAGCCCTGAGTGAAAAAACTGAAAAGCAGATGATTGCATGCCTTTAAAATAGAAGAGCCTTGGAGAGAACAACCTTTGGCAGAAGTCTGTATTCTCTTGGTGAGTTGTTTCAACATTGGCGGCTGGCCGTGAACCACCACCCGCATCAAACAGACTGGCGCCCCAAACATGTGCAGTGGACACATGACATCACGGGTGAATCTGGTGAGACATGGCTTGGTAGTTTCCTGGAACCCCGGACTTAAGTGGAACGCGGGGGGCCTCTTTCTTACGCTTAGTCCCTACAGGCAAGGTGAGGCTGGTTTTCCTTTGGACCGTGCGCAGGGTGGATCACATTCTTCACTTCGGCGATCACAATCTGTCCAAGAACGCCCACAGTTTGAAGATCGGAGAATGCCCTGTGTGTTTTTGAGGGAGGTTTCGTCTGTTTTTCGCAATGTTTTGTTTTTGCCAGGAAAGGGGTGAGTTTACAGGTTGAGGTAGTCCACCCGTCGGGATTTCCACCCACCCCAAGATGCAACAATATAGACATAGATATATAGAAACATTAGCAATCGTCAATATATTTTATGAAACAATAGAAGCTATATCTATATCAATGTCAATATCTATCTATATTATATCATGGACCAAAACCACTGTTCCATCCTGCCAAGCAAAATGGAGAGTCTGAGTCTACTGGAGCCGCTACGAGCGACGGCTCACATGAGGAACGGCGCCCTGGCGCTCGCCAACAGCGCACGCCGGATGCGGTGCTCGCAGGTGACGAGTCAATGCGGTTTTCACTGCTCGGTGACTTGAAATATATAGGTTCTTGTTCCTAGTAGCGATGGCCTCCAACCTACTTGCGATGGCCTCCACCAAGCATAGCGTCCCAACGCTACTAGTAGCTTCTTATTCCAATCTCAGAGACGAATCATTTCAAGAACGACTTTGTTTCGAAACTTCTTGTCCTTTAGCCGGCCTAATTAGCCGTTGTCTTCGTCATGTTTCACCTGTCAAACGAATCTTATGAAGATCAATCACCGCTGGTCACCAGCTCACGACCCTTGAGGTTTGCCACAAGTCGCATCTTTCATCGAACAGGTCACGTCGATCTAGGATCGTGCATTTCAATGAGCGATCCAACGAGGGGACCGGACCATCCTGTCAACAGGATGTTTAGCCATGGTCTCCCCTGAGGAGCTAGCTGCAAGCGCCCAAAGAAAGCCCTAGGTAGATGATTTTAAGAAGAGTCTCACACACCAAGACCAAGATGTCCCAAAAAACGCCCGAACCTGTCAGGTCCAGCTGAGACCTCGTTGCCTGGCAGGTCCACTCCTGACGATGTCGCCTGGACCGCATGGGCATTGACTTAACGGAGTTTTTTTCAGGATTCAGGAGGTCTGGGGTTTGCAAGAGGAAAGGGAAAATGCACAAGGAAAGATAGGCTTTGGGAGAATGCGTCGCTTGGACTCCAAACCCTCTCAGCAACAACACGAAGCTATGGTGGTTCATGTTGACGAAGGGCGTTCGCTTCCTGCCGTGCTTTTGGAACCTGCGGCCGTTCTTCTCGGACCCGACACCGCCGAGACCGACCCCACCGATGCCACCGGTCACACTGAACTTCTTCCTCCGAGTCCTTTGGGTCGTGCCTTCGGCAGCGCGATGCCGGTCAACCGCCGCGGGGGGGCCAGGTTCCACCGCGGCGCCGGCTGCAGTGGCAGCACCCAGGTCCGCGCAGAAATGGTGTTGGGCGTGGATTCCCAAAAGAGTGCCTTCCCGCCCTGCTGGAACAGCTTGGCCTCACGGATTCGGCGGGAAAGGCGTCGACCTGGCAGAGTCCGGTCATTTGAGGTGACACTTTCCTCAGTCCATTTTCTCTTTGGGGGGCTACAGGTTGCAGGTATCTTTCCATTAAAAAATGTGTGGAGGAGTTTGACAGACAAGTCAGTTTAGGATCAGATTCTGATGTGTTTCTGACCTTCACTGGCTGAGTTTTGACTGCAATTCAGGATGTTGCACCATTTTTTTGAGTTTGATCTTGTTTGGGTTTAAAACACATTAAAAATACTGTACCACATCAAAGGAGACGAAAAGCAGACTTGACAAGACGAAAAAGGACGGAAGTCTTGTTCTCAGTGTTTTGGTTCCACCGGACCCGAATCTCAGTCCTCCGTGTCTGTCGCCAACGGGTCCAGCCGTGTGTTTGGCATCGACTGCGAGGAACCTCCCGCTGTGCGGTCCGACTCGGAAGATCGAGGATTCGCTCAAATGAACCCATGGGGGTGGAATGGTTGAAAGCTGTTGAATATTGTGGAATTCTTTTTGTTTCACCAAAGCTGAGGTAGTAGTAGGCGCTCAAGTTCTTTGTCTTTGGGTTTCGAGTGTGAGATGCAACAATGTGTGGCAGATATATATAATAGGCTGTGAGCACTTTTGGCATCCTGCATAGATAGCCGGAAGTGCGATAGTCCGATTTTCACCTGTCCAGAACAACTGCTTCTCGCGGCGGCAGGAAAGCACATCATGCTGCGGACGTCGATCTCCAGGATAGCCAGACTTCAAGGCGTGTTGCTTGATTTTTGAGTGGCTTTTTTTTGTGTGTGTGTGTGTGCGTGAAACAAAAGTCACAGAGGAGGATATCATCCTGTTCACTAAAGGTTAGGCCAATCCAGAGGAAGCTGCGCGTTTCTAGTTGCCTGTGGCTCCTGTGAACATTTTGGCAATGATCAGTCACGAGACTCTCGCGAGACTGGCAGTACATCCCGGCCGCCTTTGAGTTACTTCCGCGGTGCAAATGCACATGGCCTTGAGTGGGAGTGCTGTTTTCTTGGTTTTGTCTGCCATAGTGTATGCACTAAACTATGCCTGGGCTGAGTTCATCAAGGAGGAGGCCGCTCAGCAAGATGCAGCAAGTGCTTGCAAGTATGGTGAGTGGCAGGCAGTGGGTGTGTGTTCCGTGACGTGTGGATCAGGAGTCCAACAACTCAAACGTTTTCCAGGTGAGCAAAATGAGAGTTGCCAAATCCAGTCCACGGAACGTCCTTGCGAAGCAAGCTCTTGTCCAAGGAATTGCGAGGGTCAGTGGGGTGCTTGGGGCCCATGCAAGCAAAACTGCACCCAGCTACGCCAGTATCGCATTGTCCGCCCAGAGACGAATGGAGGCCGCGCTTGCAGTGAGAAGGATCGGGCCATACAGTCCACAGCTTGCAGTGATGGAGAATGCTCAATTGACTGCAGTGTGGGGTCCTGGAACGCAATCGGAAACTGCACTCGTCCCTGTGGAGGCGGTGAGCAGATGTACCACAGGCCAGTTTTACAAGTTCGTGTTGGACGCGGACAAGCTTGCCCTGCCTTGGAGAAAAGAGAGGCTTGCAACGCCCAAGATTGCGCGTATCCCAAGATCTTGGCAAAGCTACGAGTGGTGATCCAGAACTTCTCTTCTGGAGAACCGGTTATGGATGTTGTGAGATCAGAAGCAGATGGTTTCAAGTCATTGGCCAAGACATCGCACAGTGATGATCCACAAGGAAAAGAATGGGGCATGTTTGTTGACAACGTGAGGGCTTTGGCAAGAGATTACAATCAGGGAAAGAAGAAGCTGTACCAAGCTCTTCTGAAGTTGATGACTCTGTCAAGGCAGGCGCCCGATGAACTTGAGGCACTCTTCCAGGAGTTTCTTGCAAAAGACTGGGCGCTTGCCCGGCGAAGGTTCAACAGGTTCTTGCACAAGGTTTCAAGCATTCACCAAATGATTGACGAGGTCCACAACTCGTTCATGGAAATGGAGAAAGCAGCAGAACTGCACCGCGAGAAGGCCGTTGATCAGCAAGAGACTTTCACAGACATTGCAGCTGCGGTTCGCCGTTTGGGAGTGTCTGGAGAATCAGTGGATTCCAGCGGATTTGCCGTGGAGAATGGTGTAGATCATCGAGGCGCTGATATTGCATGTGGGAAGTTCACAAGTATTCATGCATTGGCTAGCCAGTGCTTGCATGATTCATCTTGCCAGGCCTTCACAGTGTGGAATGGAAAGCCATGGTGTTTGAAGCACCTGCGCTTTGATGATGGCCCCGTCAGCGATGGGACGCACATCTTCTACAGGAAGCTTGTCCAGAGTGGAGGGGTGGTCCAAACCGAAGAGAGAGTCGAAGTGTTTCTGAAAAGATGGTCCTTTGCTGCCAGCTTGCTCATGACCGTTGAGAACACGATCAACCGTGTTGCAGAGAAGGTTGGCAGCATAGAGACGGAGCTCAATGAGATGGGCATGATCTTGGCTGAGTTGGAAGGTCTCTTAGGTGTTGACCAAGAAGTACAACATCGTGTGGAAGAGCTGCTTCATGACATTGCTTCTGCATTCACCACGATCGTTGCCTGTTTGGAGCCATCTATGAAATGAGGGCTCCAAACAGGCTTGCCATTGCCTCGGTGTTTGGAAAGCCAAAAAGCAGGGCTGAAGTCGGCCCACGTGGGCTTCCGGCTTCCAGTGCAGAACTGAGAGCAAGGGACATGGACCTAAATGCCTTTAGACACAAGTTCGAGAGGCCTGCATGTTTGGTAGTTTCAAGTGACATTCTGCGCAGATGACAAAGTCTGTTAAGTTTGTTATGCCTTCTTGCAAGCTGTGTCGGCAGATTTCTCATCGATGTAATCTAGCCCTGCTTTGAGCTAAGAGGTCCGAAAACTTTTCTTCGGAAAGCCGTTGGAGGCTGAAAACTGAGCTGCGACAGGTTGAGCTTCAGCCATGTCGGCAGAAGATGCACGCCGATGTGATGCTCATGACTGCTGGGTGCTCAGAACAGGATCTTAGACAGGTTCTTCTGCAAAACGCAGAGAAATAACAGGTTCTTCTCAACAGGCTCTTCTCCTTAAAGGTCTTAGCAGGTTCACTTGATATGTTTTTTACTTCTGACAGACTGGGATCTTGAGAACAAGTTGTTCTTTATTTTCCTTGCCCCGTGTCTTTTTTCTTAGAGGTGCGTGTAAACATGTATATAAATTGCTAGATGTTTTTTTGTTCATTTCTTGAAGGTCAGGGCCTTTGAGTCTGACGACATGTCGGGAGATTCTTGCGAATTCGGGTGTTTCGTGACGACGCGTCGGGAGTCGCGTAACAATTCTGGGATCCTTTATGCGTAGTGTTTTTTCTCATTCGCTGCCTTCTTGGATAAGAGAGAAGAATTGAAGTTGAATGACTCATCGAACATGTTACTCAGAAACCATCAGAATCCAACTAATTAGATTAGATGTTGATTGCACCCAAATCCGCCAGCAGCTGCAGATCCCTTTGCGCCAGTGGGCCAGACCCTGAAGATTGGGTGTGCCACACAAGTTGGTGCATCATTTTATGATGTTTGTTTTACAACAACGCTACAAGGTGCACCCAAACACAAAGACTTCACGATAGTCTTTGTGGCAACAGCTCTCTCTCTCTCTATACATTCTATGCACAGGAGAAGCCTCGGTTACAATCACTTACAGTGGCCACCTTCCTTTGCCTTTGAGGTGGCAGATGGTGGCTGTTGCTGCATCTCTGGTGAATCAAGTCAATGGCCACACGGCAGGCGCGACCATTTTGCCGTTCCATCGCATCTGGCACCGATTTTCACGGTACATCATGTCCCCCACGTCAGGGACATATGTACTTGTAGCCCTCTCAGGGTACATGCTCTTGTGGAGACCAGCATCGCTCACTTCCCGCTCATTTTGGCGTCGGAGTTTTTCCTGGATTGAAGGATGGATCGACTCCCTGTGTTGGGGCGGGAACGAACCTGGCTCATGTCAGAGAGGTTCAAAGTGGGATCATTCCATTTCTTTGAGTTGCGAAGCTAACAATTTCCAAACTCTGTTTCTGATGAGTATTTCACATGTTTGTTTGTTGTTCCTTTCTGAGGAGGTGCTCCTGCAAGCCAGCTCACAAGGCAATGGAGGAACCCAGTAGCCCTCCCAGTCGAGGTAGGCAGACCCAGTAACAAGCTGTCGCAGTGAGTTGTTGTATTATAGTTCAAAGAGCAGGAGGACGCATTGTGTTCCGAAGCAAATCACAGTTGCTATCATTGAAGATTGTTTGGGAAAGAACATGGCGGAACTCCCGATGCCTAGTTATTTCCTGTCGGGCAACGCCAGAATCAAAGCTCCCATTCTTGCCTTTTGCGGGGAGCATCGCCTCGATGATCAACGAGTCAACTCCATCCTCCCACATAATTAAGCCATGTGGCATCCTGGATCACCCGTCAGGGGATGGAGGGTGGATCTATATATTCAACACTATTCAACTCCATCCCCAGGAGAAGAACCCAGTTCCATCCTCCCCACACAACCACCGGGTGGATCCATCCGCTTTCGGCGGAGGCGGATCGAGCTCGAGACCGGCGGAGGGCTGACACCGCTGGGTCGAACTCCGCGGATCGTGTCCGGCGGCTCGGGGGCGATCCGGAGCCGGTTGGGGGGGCATCGCCTTAGGTAGAACGGTAGAGCTGGCAGCTGAGGTGAATATATTTTTTTGAACCATATCATATCCACCGGCCACCATAATCATATCCATGGTAGCGGTGGGTTCCTGGCAGCCCTGGCAGCCTTGATGGGAATGGGAACTAGATGCCAAGCTGGTGGTTTTCGGATCACTTTTAATTTGAACCTTTAGTTGGGATGATGAAACCCCCACCGAAGAGTTTCTTATTTTGTGAGTTTGGGAATACACCCAGCCAGAATGTTGAAGCAAACTCTTCTGCATCGAAACCAAGGCTGAACTCTTTCTGCCCAGCCTTGACCTCTTCGTTTTGGAGGTGCACCGTGCTCCACCGAGGCGCGTGGCGAACACCGCGGTGCGTAACGTCCGCGGCGCACCGCGTTGTCTCACAGTGCAACGCGACCAGTACTCCCCCGGAGCTCACATGGATGCGGAGTGAAAATTCCTGTAAGCCATGGTCTTCTTGACTGTCATTCCATCCACTTCCGTTTTAGTTCCAAGGAGTGTATCATTGAGCCTTGCCTTACATAGCTTCTTTTCATGATGTGGATGCCTTTGAACTTGGTCAGTGTTTGACCAGTGAACGAATAGCTGACATTCGCCGAGGTTTCAATATGGGTGCGTATTGAAGCAGGGAGACCTCCCAAAGACCCCCTGCAAGAAGGAAATCAGACTATTAATTAAACACATGCCCATATGTGCTGGGACATCATACCCACTCTAGAAGCCGACCTTTCTTGGTGGAGCAACCTGTGAGCACGCACCCTTGCATGAAGAGGGACGGTCACGCAACCCTGTGAGAGCAGATCAACCATTGTTGTTTATGATTACGCCTCAATGAGAGTGTCATGGTTGGACAACCTTGCAAACGGCCCAACAATAACACAGACACCAAATATGTATATATAATTATAGCAATACATACTCTTTGGACATTACGCAGGGCGCATGCCATTGTAGCGAAATGCAAGAGGGTGCACGAGACTGCGCAACAAATGAGTATGGCGCTTCAAAGTCGGGCTTGGAGAGTACTAGTAGGACCAATCATTGGACTCAGTATACGGGCGCCTGTTCCATCCCTTTTTCCTCCTCGCCATCCAAATCGCGTTGGGATCAATGGTTAGTACATGTTAACTACGTCATTCTACGGAACATCTGCTACGCTGTCATTCTCCTCCTTCTTCTCCTCCTCCTCCTCCGCGCGGCTCGCCTGAATGACGGCTCTTCGGGGGCCATCGGATCCACCGAAGGCCATGGCTGGCGGGTTGCCGCCGTGGAATCCATCGGTCCAAGGGAACGGGAAAGACGCATCCGATGAACGACGACGAAGCGACGGAGCTCGGATGACGCTGGCTCAGAGCTGCAAATGACCTCGGGTTTTTCGTCAAGACCGGCAGGACCGTCCTCGCTTCGTTGGGGGCGTTTTTTTGGGCGTCTCTTCTCAAGAACTCGGAGTATCACGGTCTAGACCTTGCCGTGCAGATTCCAGCGCAGACTCTGTAGACACCGCAGACTCTTCAATGTCGGCTTCGAAGCCAAGGCCTTGCCAAACAACCTATCTATCACAAGTTCTGGGTCATTTTGGAAATGGCCTGGGATTGCTTATAATCCGTTTAACTTCCAAACGCCCAAACAATGGATCACTATCCCCACCAGATGTATTCTCGGAATCGATGGCTTCTTTGCTTGGAAGGCGGGTGAAGGATGCCACCGGTGATGGAGGAGCCGTGCCGTCGGCGGTCACCAGACGTGCCAGCTGCTGAGGGAATGAACTGCTGTGGGTTTCGTCAACTCATTTTTGGGGAAGTAGAGTGTTATTTTTTATCTTATGAAGCCAACGAAGTTCAGATTTGAAAGCATGTGTGTCCATTGATGACATCAAGAAGTGGTTCATTCAGAAGGAACTAATAACTTGCCAGCTACAAGGGTTTGCTTGCTTTTTGTCATTGGCGTATGGAGAGATGCGTTTCACGCTGAATGTGATCGATGTAATCCGTGTCAGGACTTGCGATCGATGGATGCCAGTGCGGCGACCGAAAAAAGGTCGAGCAGACCTTCCATGCAGACACGGAGAGGAGACACGTTGGAGACGCAGAAAGGGGCACGACTCTACGGTATGCCCGTAGACTCCATAGAGCAATTTTCGAGAATGAGAGAACTCAGATGAACACTGCATTGGGAGGATAGAAATATCGTCTTCCAAGCTCAATCTTTGTGAAGTGGTTCAATGCAAATCACTCGGACACATTACTCAATGATTCGGATAGCTTTTGTGTGGCTCAAAAGGCCTATGGTGACATTGAATAAGATGTCTGCACCTGCAAACCCTGCTGTTAGAACACTCCATTGCAATCAAGAAGAGCTATTGTAAAGTTGTGATATTGCAGAAATGCTCTCATTGGAAGCAATCACGCAGTAAACAACGCAGCGGCACGACGGCCCAAGTCAAATGTTCACAGCAGTTTGACTCGGGCTCGGAGGACAAGTGACGGGACAAGAACCCAGCTACCAGTCACATGGAATGTTGAGGTGGTCCTGAGGCAGAGCCATGGCCTCCATTGCAGAGGCTGACATCGACTTGAAGCTCAACAAAACGTCTCCAATGGGCGGGTGTGTCTCCTTGTTTTGGTCTCCACATACTCAACAGCAGATCTAGCAATCGTGTTGAACGGTCAAGGCAGAGCAACTTCCCCATCAAAGGCCGTAATCTCTGAGTTGCTTGTTTCTGAAGCAACATTCCTGTCCTGAACACACTGAATCCAGCTAAGCTCCAGCTAGTCCTTCAGACGGGTTTTCCCGCTGATCTTCCCCGCTTCTTCCGAGGAATCAGAATGCCTTCCTGCTGATCCACGGATGGACGGTGGGACCCCTGCTACTGGAGTTCACGGGTCGATTGCTGGAGACGTGTCGAACGGCCAAGACGGTGTCGCAAGTCGCCAGCGAGACGGAGGCCCATGAGGGCCCCTTGGCCATCACTCTGCGCAGCTGTAGTGCTCTGGGATTTCTGAAATTCAATCCGAGATCCTCGACTTGAATTTAGCTGATTTTGCCTTGGGCTATCATTTTTTTCACAAAGCCAGGGTCTTTGTGCGAAACAAGGCCCCATCGGCCCCATAAGACACTTTCAACAAGACGAGCAAAGATCAAGTCACACAGTGGATGCTGTCCAGAAATTCTAACCCACACACTTATAGATATGCGTACTGACTTGACAGCGGTGCCACACGCCAGCCTAGGTTACCATTTCCTAAGGGTACAGGTAGAACAAAACCAAAAGCATCGACGATCACGCGACAGGCTGACGACGTTCGTGCATGACTGTGGCTCACCTCGAAATTCAAAGCGTAAACTCAAATTCCAGATCAAGTGCATGACTGCCGATGGTGAACAGATGCAATGGCTGGTCAGCTTGTTCTAGTTAAGGCGGGGCCTAAGAGGAAATGAGAAGTCATCACGGAGCAGGTACAAGTGGTTGATCAGACCACTCATCCACCGAAATGCCATAGCTTCGTTGGACTGGATAGGCAACTCGGCTCCAGTCCCCCTGCTGAAAAAAGAAAGAAGTCCATCAAACATTCCAAATGGATCCCTGTGATTACAAGGGGCACACACACACGCCTCCCCGAGGGGAGGCATATTTTAAGCGCCAGGCCGGGAAGGTTGAGTGAAACTAACGAAACTGACGAAGTTCACGGAAAGGTTGGTAGGCAGTGAGGGGAACTCGTGTCAATTGACAAGTGGCATCATCATGTAAACGGGGGGGCGACTGTGTGAAGAGGTCGGTAGGGGAAAGGGGTGGCATCTCGTGAATATTCTTGTGATATACCAAGTACACGAAGTCGTCGAGAGTTGACGTAGTACAGAACAAGATCTTCAAGAGTACAGGTGTGTGGGACTTCCTAAACTCGGGAGTCCGGATAAGAGTTCATAGGAAGGAAGGCCGCCAAACGCCTGGAAGAAACCTCGGCAAAAAAAAGTGGCCTGAGTAAACCAAGTGCAAAATAGAAGTAAGGCGGTGAACCTAAGGGTAGATCCAAATACTTTGGAAGATGCACCATGGCTCAGCTACCTACCGACTATGAAGTCAGTCAAAAAAGACCCAAATTTCGAAATGGCCAAGTCCTAAAGAAGGCTTCATGTTCAAAGTCTGCGACGGGCTGCCAGTGCCAGTTTCCAACCTGTGAGCGAGACAGATGAATCGCCCTAAGGTAGGTAGGCAAGACAAAAACTTAACACAGGATAGGTGAAGTAAGAAATTGGAAGCCTCCTGTTCTAATGACCGAGACGAAGGAATCGCTCATAGTGATAGCAAAAGGGAAAGAGAGAACCGACAGACAAATCTGCCAGCAAACTTTGCCTCCACTTTAGAGTCGCTTTGTAGTGCAAGAAAACAGGTACACATCCACGGCCAGTGATGCTTCCCTCTGTGATAGAGTAGCGTCAGAGAACTCTGTTGCTGAAAACATTCGATATGCCAAAAGGCAACCTGTGACTCCAAGGTGTGCCCGCACACATACTTATTGACATGCGCGCCGATTCGATTGCGGTTGCCACACGCCGGCCTAGGTAACAGATTTTGCTTGAGTAAACCGGCAGAACGACAAAAGTAGGTTGGAGGCCATCGCTAGGAAGTTGGAGAAGTTTGGAGGCCATCGCAAGTAGGTTGTGCGCACAAGCTGAAAGCGACACCAAGCAACAAGGTTGTAGGTCATCGCTAATGGCTTGGAGGCCATAGCGCCAGGTTGGAGGCCAGCGCTACGAGTTTACAAGACCCAACCCGCAAAGCAGCATCAAAGCAACGAAGGTTGGAGGTCATTTCTAGTGCGTCGGAGGCCATCGCACCAGGTTTGAGGCCAGCGCTACTAGTTCACAAGACACAAACTCAAAAACTCAAAACACATCAAGCAGCAAGGTTGGAGGTCAGCATTAGTTCGTTAGAGGCCGTGGCACCAAGTTGGAGGCCAGCGTTACGAGTTCGTAGCTAGAAAAGGAAGGGAAGCCTCCTGTTTATAGCTAGGGGCGAGACGCGCCCCATTAGATAGATAGAGAAGGACAACAGAAGGAAAGGAACCGACGCACACAGTCACAGTCCACCGAGAACCATTTCCTTCTGTTATCCGTTAGGGTTGGGTAGGTGCAGGTACACAGTGGAGGAGCGTCCCCCACTCATCAACTGATACCCTCTTTGCTGGACGGGTGGTATCAGCGGTGACCCGTCCCCCTGCAACAAGTTTAACTGGATCCCTGTGACTCCAAGGGGTACACATCCCGTTGAGGGAGGCGAGAAAAATTAAGGTTGCGAGTTGCGACCAATGCGCACGCGTGCGCGCAAAACAGACAAACAAACGACGACGTGAAAGGAGGACGAGACAGACCGTAGGCATGTGGTTGCGATGAGAGGGAAACCGCAGGGACAAAAGATGAAACCCCCCCTCATTGTCAGAACCTCGGTTTGAAATGGATGTGAATTTGCACGTACATACTAAGGCAAAGAAGGGATGAGGTATGAAGACAGGGAGACATGAAAGAAAAGAGGAAAAGAGAGGTGCGTGAAGGGGACAAAGATGAAAAGGGAACCAAATGGAGGGGACAGGAGCCGATTAAACCAAACCTCATTGAAGACCTGTTGTAAATGCCTCGTTTGTATGTAAGCACGCCGCGCACGAGGGAGGGAGGGGTAGGGAGAGAAGAGAGAAAAGAAAGAAAACAGAAAAGGAAACGACGGTGTTCCCAGCTACGACACAAGCGTCCAGGGGGACACCAGGGAGAGGGGTGTACCTGAGTGTTGCATTCAGGAACACCCCAAAAGGCGAAGAAGGAAGAGAGGGGAGGGAAAGGGGAGGAAAGGGATCAAGGTTCCGACAGGTTCCAAATGAACCTTGAGTGGCCCCGGCCGCTGCGGCCACGTACGCCGTGCCTAGATGGCTGGCTGCTCTGACCGCTGCGGGCACCTAATGGCTTGCCCGAGGACTGCCTACTTGGAATGCAAAATCAGCAATTCTAAGTCTTGGCAAGTAACTTTGGCATAAGCCTCCTGCTGTCCGTTTCGGACACCTACGTTCCCGGCAGGGGGAACAACGACAAACCCTCGTTCAACGGGTCCACCGGGGCCACTCGTCGGGGTCACCCTGGGCTGACACTATAAGGTCAGACACACTTATTGACACGCGTACCGATTCGGTTGCAGTTGTGCCTAGGTAACAGATTTTGCCTGGGTAAGCCGGCAGACCCGGCAGAACGACAAAAGTAGGTTGGAGGCCATCGCTAGGAAGTTGGAGGCCATCGCCCAAGTTTGGAGGCCATCGCAAGTAGGTTGCGCGCACAAGCTGAAGGCCACACCAAGCAACAAGGTTGGAGGTCATTGCTAACGGGTTGGAGGCCATAGCAACAGGTTGGAGGCCAGCGCTACGTGCTTACAAGACACAACCCGCAAAGCAGCATCAAAGCAACAAAGGTTGGAGGTCATCTCTAGTGCGTCGGAGGCCATCGCACCAGGTTTGAGGCCAGCGCTACTAGTTCACAAGACACAAACTCAAAAACTCAACACACATCAAGCAGCAAGGTTGGAGGTCAGCATTAGTTCGTTAGAGCCCGTGGCACCAAGTTGGAGGCCAGCGTTACGAGTTGGTAGCTAGAAAAGGAAAGGGAAGCCTCCTGTTTATAGCTAGGGGTGAGACGAGCGAATCGCCCCAGTAGATAGAGAAGGACAACAGAAGGAAAGGAACCGACATACACAGTCACAGTCCGCCGAGAACCATTTCCTTCTGTTATCCGTTAGGGTTGGGTAGGTGCAGGTGCACAGTGGAGCGTCCCCCACTGCATCAGCGCCAACTGATACCCTCTTCGTTGGACGGGTAGTATCAGCGGTGACCCGTCCCCCTCACACCTAAGATTCTGCAACTGTCCATCGTGACATTTGGCTTCTCCGAGCTCGCCGATATCGACCGGTTGACCGAGGCGATGCCACTTATGTGGTGGCGGAAGCTGCTGAGTTGGAGGAGTTGGAAGAGGTGTTCGCGTCGAAGGGGGAGCAGCTTTGGTCCATCTACCGCGACTCCCAAGCTCCGTTCAAGATCCCTTCGGAGCAATGCACACGCTGCCTGGAGCTCTGGGAAGCGATGTGTAGTGAGACGACGATGAGCAAATCGTTGGGGCTTCTGTTGAAGGGCATTGCGCTCTCACCTTTGTTGACCTCGATCACCTACCATGCACGTTGGAACGAGCAGGGCTTAGATCTCGGTCGCCAGGAGTTCCCGTTGGATTTCCGGGCATTCAGTGGCGAGGCCTTCCTGCTGAAGACGCTTGGGAGGATATTCCAAGAGCTTGGCATTGGCCAAGTTCAGTCCACAGGAGAAGTGACCGTGTCGCCCAGAGGATATTTGGGGCTACAAAGGGTCTACTCTTACTACGTGCCATCCTCCTACGCACCCTTGCTTTCTCGTTTCCCTCATGTGCTCTTCGAGAACCCTGCGTGGGGCTTCAACGCTGAGGCCGAGGAAGAAGACTCCGAGATCCACGTCGATCGAACGTTGAATGTCGTCGGCAGCGGGGCCCAGCACACGACCTTGTTCAAAGATTTGCTAGGTGCCTCAGACGGGCGATTGCGTTTTCATGTGTGTTTTATCAAAACAATATGTAACTATAGAGATATGTGTAGAGTAGCATGTGACAGCCAAGCACCGCGGCCATGCGGCCGGTGGAAAATTGGTAGAACTCCGCCAACTGACTTCTGAACCTGGGCCCAGGTCATGTGAATCAAGTCTTTGACAACGAAAAATTCACTGAACAGCCAGACTTTGTGATAGACACTGGATGTGGGGATGGCCATTTGCTTCAGTGCATTTATGAGCATGTGCGTGACCACACTCCGCGTGGGAAGGTTTTGGAAGAGCATCCCCTGGTGATGGTGGGCGTTGACTTCAATGAGAAGTCGAGAATTGCAACGGCCTGCAACCTGGAGAAACATCAAGTGCCCCATCGTGTGATTGCAGGCGACATTGGGAAGCCTTCAGCTTTGATAGCACAGCTGAAAAGAAAGAAGGTCAATCCGAAGAAGTGTTTGCACGTACGCTCCTTCTTGGATCATGATCGTCCCTACATTCCAGCCAGAGATCCCATTTTGCCCGAAAGCGCCTTGGCAGCCTTCGTTCGAGCTCAGTTGGCGGACTTTGTGCATTTGGATAAGGAAGGCGCTCCCATTGCTCCTTTGGAGCTTTTTGCATCGCTTGTTGAGCACATGATGCGCTGGGGTGATGCCATGGAAGGTTCCTTCGGACTTTGCATGCTGGAGGTGATGCAGTTGGACGTCCCAACCACTCGGCGTTACCTGAAAGAGTGTGTCTCGTTCCATTTCGATATCGTCCAGTGCCTCTCTAGGCAGTACATGGTTTCTGCTGTGGCTTTTGCTTTGAGCTGTGCAATGGCTGGACTTTTTCCTACGGATTGTCGAGCCGTCCAGACATATCCCGAAGCGGGAGGTTACTGCCGAATGATGAACCAGCACTTGGTGCGAAAGCCTTACAGGAGATTCCGCGAAAGCTTTGAAAGAGACTATGCTCGAAACATGTTGAAACATTCAAGAGACGTTTTTCACTGGTCAACATCGCTTAACAATATTTAAAACTCAATCCAACCAAATGCAACAACATGGAACGATGCGTGGCAAAATCGCATTTGTATGCATACCGATGGTTACAACAAACCATGTGCCATGAAGAACACTGCGGGGGGTCAGTCGATCGGCTGAAATTGGCAGGATCCGGCTGGCGGAGGTGTCTGATCTGCCTGCGCTTGAGAAGCTGGAGCAAAAAGCCTGGGCACCTTCGCTACAAGCGAGTGCAGAGGTCTTGCGGCAACGCCTTGAGAGAAGCTTTGCGAATTTCCTTTGCGAGTTGGACGGCGAAGTGGTGGCGGTGTTGTACACCCAACGGATTGCCAGCGTCGACGCGGTGGATTCCCAGAAGTTCATGGAGATCTCCGCCTCTCACGACCCCCATGGAGCCGTGTTGCAACTCATCGCCATCAGCGCGGACCCCGACATCGCTCCTCAGCACATGGGTCTCGGCTCCCTGGTTTTGGCGGATCAGGCAGTGGTGTTGTTTTTTTTTGTCAATCCCGTCAATCTCCCCAACCGGAAAAGAACATG